GAGGGAGGCTTCCCCCTGCTCGCTGGAGGAGTGCCTGTGTAGGTAGCCCTGCTCCCCTCTGCCCCCCGGGCCCACGCCCGCCCTGGCCTGTGGGAAATGGAAGCATCCCAGCTGCCCGTCAGCCCTGCTGGTTTTGGGGGGTGTCACATTCCCGGTGTTGGTGCAGTGGGGTGGGGCCTACGTGTGTGTGTGGGACAGCTGGAGATAGGGCTGCAAGGCTTGAGGAGATCTCTGTGTGCTGTGAGTGCCATAGGAGGGGTTTTAAATCTTCAGCATGGCCAGGGAGTGGAGAAGGGCTGAAGGAGAGATCACTGAAGGCCAAAGACTCTGGGCAGTGGAAAACAATTAAAAAATGAAAAGCTATTAAAAGAGGGCTGGTTCCAGCTGGGACTGGTGGTGTGGGGTTCTCATTCTGGGAGCATTTTGAGGTGGCAGTGCCAGGTCTCCTTGGGCTCCAGCCTGCCACTGCTGTTGGCTGGTGACAGGGCAAGCCAGCTGGTGCTGGCATTGGCAAGTGGGTGCAGTACAGGAGACTTGAGGCTCCTGTGAGTTGGGAGGGGTTGCAGCAGCCACATGGCCCCTGCTGAGGCTGGGTGAGGCTGTGCCAGCACCATAATTAGGTCCCTTTTAACAGTGTGAGGGAGCTCAGCCCATGCAAACTTTAGTTCCCTGCTGAAAAGGAGGGTGCTGATGCCAAGGGGCCCTGGAGGTCCATCTGCTCAGAAACTGGCTGATCTGCAAGCATCAATGCCTTCGTGTCCCACAGGTACAAAGGGAGGGGGTGGGGAGGGAAGGTGCCCAGGGACTGTGCAGACTCCTAGGCTCTCGGGCTATAATTTAACATATTTTAAACTACTACAAAGTCAGCAGTGCCTTACCCCTTGCTTTGGCTGTTTCCATGCACTTCTTTGTGCTAGCAAGAGTGAAGTGTGGAGAACTGGAATGGAACCAGCTAAAAATGGACAGTTTGGGGGTGTGGGGGATTTGTTTATCACATGGCCACTACAATGCTTGTGCCACTGAAAAGGGAAGAAAAGCAGGTGGGCGAGAATGTGTAGCTGGAGCAGGAAGAGAGCAGGACTGCTTTTTTAATTAAGATGTTGGCTTGAACCAACTTTAAGGCATTTGTTGAATGAAGGCTTCACAAGCTTACAGGCAGGACAGAAATGTGTTGTGGAGCACTGCAAGAAATGGGTTGCTATTGAACAAAAGTTTGGGTAAAGGGAAAATATTGGAAATTATGTTCCATGGAGCCAAGTATTACATTTTGTCAGCATTTGCTCAGCACTTGGGATGTTTTAGCAGTATGTTGTTAAGATGTGTGATATCTTTAATGACTGGAAAGTACTTGCCCTGTGGGTCTGCTTATTTCATAAAGCTATGACTGTAGGCAGAAAGGAACAAGTCAGAGGTTTAGGGGCCCAGCTTAAAGCTAATGCCCTGCTCTAGAGTGAGTTGTCTTCTCTGTGCCAAACTCTGTCAGACTGCTGCAGTCAGTGATGTCACCAGCAAAACACAGTGGGGTGGTTGGTGGTTTCTTTGATGTGATGTGGAGCTGTGCTGTTCCATGCCTCCTGTTACCTGCTGGAGGGGTATTTCCAGAGGCACAGTGTTTGGCTTTGCTCCTTCCCTGCCAGTTTCACCTCACTCCTCTGAAGCTCAGAGAGCAGTCCCAGAGCACAGAGCTCCCTGGAGCTGGGTCTGAGCATGCAGAGCATGGGTGTGGGTGCATGGGTGTGCATTTTGCTCTACACACACAGAAGTGACAGGTTTCTTTGGTGCTTCTTGGGGGTGTTACTCCTTCCATGTATGTGTGCAACTGTGTAAGGCATATGATGTTTTCCAGGGTGGTCAGCTCTCCGTGCATGTGCTGCACATGCCCATGGCTGTCTGGTTGGAATCCTCAAATTCCAGCAGGGTCTCTGGCTTAATGAAGAGGGTTTACAAGTAGAAAACCTAGAAGTGCAGGAGGCCTGCATCTGCACCCATTGCCACGGGGTCACTACCTCACTTCTCCCCTGCATGTGGTCTCTAATCCTTCTGCTCCCACATCAGGCAGCTTCTTTTACAGAATCACTTACATGATTTCATCTTACTCGATCTTAGGTTGTTTGAGAAGTGACTTGGCACTGTGATCTGTCTGATCTCAGGCTGGGAATGTCATTCCTCTCCAGCCCCCAGCTGTCCACACCTTTCTGGAGCAGGAAAGGTGTTTTTTTTCAGCATAACTATGTTTGCAGTCGTTAGTCCAGCAGATGGAGCAAATGGCTGAATAAATGAAACCAGCACACAGTCTGGGGGCAGAGGTAGATGAGGTGGAGAGAATCAAACCTAATGGACCAAGTCTTGTTTCAGACCTCCCTGATTGCTAGCTGAAAGCACAGTGTGCATTACAGATAGAAAATGGAGCTGTGAGAGTGAGAGAAGGATGAGCAAAGAATTAATTGCTCTGCTGGGGAGGTACTGAACAGAGCAAATGCTGGCACTGCCTTCTCCCTTGGGATCATTTCCTGCTCAAGCCTCTAGAACATCATTCTCTAGGCATGACGGCACTGCACTGAATGCAAGCTTTAGGGATCCTCCAAAAAAAAGATTCATCAGGCAGTGGTCCTGTTCTTTATGCTGTTGTTGAGCTTACCTAAGAGCTGTGCTACCAGCTTGCTGTTGAATGAGTGTTGTGGATTGGGGGAGGTACATGATACCTGCTTCTCATTATTCTGCAGACAGATCTAATGGCTGAAGAGTCACTGTGGGACCTGGCAAGTTTTACAGCAGACTGTCCATCACCCTGATGGAAGGTTCTGGGTTCTGAATAAAACTGGAGACTGGGAGAAGGCTGTTAAGTAGTTCAGTTCAAGCTCACAGCTTCATGGACAGCTGTTAACCACAACTGAGTAGCCTTGTCCTCCAACAGCATTTTCTTGGCCTTATGAAGCTGATATTTGGTCACAGGAAGCTGGGAAGTGAGTGCTACCTGACATTAAAATTAGCAGCTGGACCAATTCGTCCATCAGCCGTGCTGTTTTCTGCTCAGGGCTGCCACTGAAAGGCTGGAGACTTTGTCCAAAAAAAGAATTATTAAGCTCTCATTGCTTCAGCCATCTGTAGTGTTGCACAGTGTGCAGGTGAGAGGTTTACGTAGGGCTGTGGAAAGCTCCAAGATGTTCACATCTTGGTTTGCAGGGTATTCTTTCCCAGTTGAAGGCTCATCTTCAGTCCATGAGAGAAGACTGTCAATACCAGAATGCTGAGGCAGCAGAGCAGTGGCCTTCTTCTCAGTTAGGAGCCTGCTGTGGAAGGGAAGGTGTTGCCCTTTGGGGCTGCAACACCAGGTGACCCTCAGAGGACTGCTTAGAAGAGTTATGCTGGCACTGCTGGTGCTCCCTCTCTGCCCTTCAGACTCACTGTGATTCTCACATGCACTTAAGCTACCCTAAAAGTAATTCTAAAGTGATACCTGAAGGACTAGCCTGAGTTGGGTTACTTTTACCCCTTTTATGGCACTTTTCACAGAGGGATCTCAGTGTACTTCATGAAGAAGGGGAGACACTCTCACCTGTTCCTGCGTGTGTTCAGGAGTGCCTCATGGGAATGGCAGAACGGGCAAAAGCAGTGATGAAATTTAAAAGGTCCATGGGAGCTTTGGTTTAAAGTAGGTAGATCTCTTCCTGCCAGTTTCAAGTCATCAGTGCTAAATCATCTACACATCTGAACTTCCTGTACTGTATTAATTGGTTGTCTTTTCCTTGTAGCAAAGTGTCCATCCTGAAATAGCAGAATGCTGATGACAGACGTGTGTGCTCTTTGTTACAGCTGCCAAGCCTCCCACCCCGCCTTCTGTCCAGCCAGGAGAGGACCAGAAAGCAAACAATATAGTCACCATCACAGGCATCTCCCTGTGCTTGTTCATCATCTTTGCCACCGTCCTCATCACGCTGTGGAGGAAGCTGTGCAGAGCTCAGAAGTGCAGCGCCGCCGTCCGCCGCGGCTCCGTCCATTCCCCCGCCTTCCGCAAGAACTCCGACGAGGAGAACATCTGCCAGGGCAGCAGGCAGAGGGACAGCTTCACCGAAGGAGGGGATGCCCCTGTGAACATCCCTCTGACCTACAGGCGAAGCCTCCAGTTGGCCCAAGAGGATGATGTCTCTGGAAATGACAGCTTTCAGCCAAATGCCCAAAAAATAATCCCTCCGATTTTCAGCTACCGCCTGGCGCAGCAGCAGCTGAAAGAGATGAAGAAGAAAGGCCTGACTGAGACCACCAAGGTGTACCACGTCTCTCAGAATCCCCTCACGGACACGGTTGTTGGTGCCACCACGATGCTTCCCCTGAGTGGGGAGAACCACGAGGAGGCGGCGGCAAACAAATTTAGGATCAAATCTCCGTTTCTGGACCAGCCAGTCAGCCAGCCCAAGTTTCTGGGGGAAAGCTCTCACCCTAGGCTGGATTTTCCATTCTCACAGGCCAATCCTGCAATGAGCCCTACCCAAACCTTGGTAAGGAGAGCTCATTTCAAGCACCAGGATAGCAGAGGGGACTTGCCTGAGAGGGGCTGTCACAGAAACCCGCAGTTTAGAAGAACAGCCAGTTTCCATGAAACTAAAAAAGCCAGGCCTTTCAGAGAGAGAAGCATGTCCACCCTCACACCCCGGCAGACTCCTCTCTACAACGCCAGGACCAGAACATGGGACCAGGGCTTGGAGGACAGGATGAGGCCGAAATCGAGAAACGCTAATCCGACATGTGAGAAACCAGATCAGCCCCACAGTGCTGTGCCAGGGTGTGAGCCACCAGGCCATGGCTCCAAGGGCCACCACAGGGCAGGTCCCTCGCTGAAGAAGCTGGACCTGATCACTGACCGCCAGCCTGCCGGTCAGGAGAAGGCAGCTGAGAAGCCTGAGCCCAGCCGAAATAAGAGGGGCCCTTCACCTAACTCCAGAGGCGTGTGGCGGAAGGAAACGGGCTCTGCTGGCAAAGAGAACCCCCAGAGAGGCCCAAGTGTAAGCCCTGCCCAGTACCGAAGGGACAAGTGCCAGAGCTTCCCCTTGGACCCCGAGTTTGCCTTCTATGATAATACTACTTTTGGTTTAACGGAGGCAGAGCAGCAGATGATCGACCTCCCTGGGTATTTTGGCTCAAATGAAGAGGATGAAACGAGTACTTTAAGCATTGAGAAGCTGGTGATCTGAGCGAGTGGCTGCAGCCCTGCAGGAGGGTTGTGCACTGGCAAGGATCTGCAGGATCTGTCTGCTGGAAGGAGCCGTGGGAACGGCGTTACCCCACACGGAGCAGGAGGGGAGTGTCCCAGGTCCGGTTTGGGGGCACACATTCCTTTCTCATTACTGGAGAGTGCTTCCATACCATTATTTTTTGTATGTACGTGTGTAAAATTCACACAGAATACCCTGGGAAAGGCCGTGTGTGTGAAGGTGTGACTCAGGAGTAGCTAACAGATTTCATTGCATAAAGCAGTGACATTTCGTGTCTCGTTTGTGGCGAATGCCACTGACGAGCCCTTCTCACCTTGTGGACCATGTGCTAGTAGATTATGATGTCCTAAAGCATCCATTGCCCAGTATCCTCAACTATCTGTCCTAATTAGTGAATCATTTCCCATTTAGAAAACATGAACCTCAAGTTGTGAGCAGTTTCCATCATTTTTCTGGTCATTATGGAGCTGTGTTGATTCGTCACAGTTGCTCAAGTCTTATGGTGGTGTTACTTTTTGCATGACAGTCCAAACAATCAACCCTGGAGGGAATTTAAAATTGAGGGGGCATTTTTCATCATTCTAGACTTTGATATTTTCTTTCTGCCAATATTCATACCAAGAAAACAGTAAAATACAAATAGGTGCAGGAAATGAGTAGAAAAGGGCATAGAAAATGGATGAACACATCTTAGTTCTCACAAATGTTACTGCAGCATTTAAGCACCTGTAAAAGGCAGTGAAGAGAACTGTTGGATTGCCCCCCCCTTTCAAGAATTGTCTTTGCCTTTATTAAACTTTAAAAAAAATGTAAATAAATTGACAATAATACTAGCATAGTAGGCTCAAAAGAAATTGTAAACAAACCCAGCGAACAACACATTATTTGATGAGTTTTTTTTGCAAATAAAAAGAAAAAACATCTTGACAACACCTGGTCAGTCCTGGAGAATCTTGTGGCGAAGAACAAGAATTAGGTTGGTTGTTTTTGTTGTGCTTTAAAAGCAGAGATGGCCTGTTGGTGATTACACACTGCTGCAAGCATTCAGAGCGGGGTTGAAACCCTGGTTAACAACAGAGACAGAGCTCGGGCCAGCGAGAATGAGTCATGAGCCTTTGCTTGGCATTTGTTAGGATAACCGTCTCTTCAGGGAGTTTGCAGAGACCAGGGGAATGCTGTTGGGAAACAAGAAAAGAGGAGATGCTGCCCGTGGAGGAGGGAGTGGGAGAAGGTAGGTTCAGGCAGAGGACTGTCAGTCTTAAAAGAGCTCTCCCATAATGAGCCCAACCCCACGTGCCCTTTAACCTGCCTCGTGGGCGTGGAGGAGAAATGAGCATGTGCTGGGTTCTGTGGTGGTAAGCTGCTGTCTTTCCCCAAACTGGCTGAGTAGGAAGATAGATTTCCCAATCCCACACTTTTTTTCCCCTCCAAACCAGTGCCAATTTCCAAGGGAGAGCAGCGTTGCCGTGCGTCAGCCAGGTAGTTTGACAGGTGCACAGCGAGAGGGCTCGTTGTGACAGCCCAGGGAGAGGAAATCTCTCAGCATTTGCCCACCAGAGTCTAAGCCAGCCGTTGGAAGGGCCTTTTGGTGTCCAGATCCAGCTCGCAGGGTGGTGGGAGCTCCCCCTTTCCCAGGAGCTGTGCTGGGACGCCGCGCTGTGGCCCGGCGCCGTGTCCGTGCCAGCTACGCGTTCCCAGAAGCTGTCAGCTCTGAGTGCTGTTAAAAGCATTTCAGAACATGTCCACACTTGAGGACAGATCCAAGGCTAATCAAATGTAACGAGTCTTTAAATTGACTTAAACGAGCTGGAAATCAGACCTCTGAAGCAATTGCTGCTCAGGTTACTTAACCAGCCTGAGGAGTGCGTTTGCCCCGCAGCAGCGATCTGCCAGCGTTGAGCCTGCAGTGCTACAATATCTGCTTGCAGCTTTGGTGAGCCTCACAGCTTGGGGGACCCTGCTGAAAGGGGAGATCAAATGTACAGCACAGCAACGTTCAGCAAGTGCTTCTCCAGCCTTCAGTGGGGGTGGTTTGAGCTTGGTGGTAGCCCTCAAATCAAATGAGTACTCTGCTAGCGGCATTCTACCCCGTTTGTTAAGATAGAGGGTTCTGAAACACTCCTTAGGGTTTGCTGTGGGAGTTGCAGGGACCTGCAGAAAGCCCTGTGAGTTCTGCATCTCCCAGGGTGTTCCCTGCATCGCAGAGGAGCGAGAGCCTTACTCTAAGCCAGATGATGTTTCTGATCCCAGCTTGTCAGGTCTTGGCCCCTTTTTCTGTCTGAGAGAGAGAAAAAGCCCCTGTTAACATACTGATGCTGGCTGAAGACCATCCAACTATAATGCCTGCCTTGCATATGGACACAGGCTCCATACTCTGGACTTCACTCACTGCTCACTCACTGGGGCACTGGACTGGGTGGCAGTTGCCTGGCTAAGCCCTGCTGATTTTATCTTCAGCTTGATATCTCCAGCTTAATACTCCATTATCAGGTGCATTATTGGCTGCTCAATGAACTCTCAAGCCACTACTGCTCTCCCTTTGGTGCTCTAGTTGATTTCCAGCATGCAGAGTTGAGCATCAGCAACCTTCACCCTGCTTCCCTAGCTCGCTGCTGAAGAATGGGATTGAGCATCCTCTGCCAGAAGGCTTTAATTTATTTCACTCACATTTCTCTGTGTCCTCTGCCTAGATGAAGTGACCTCAGCACTGCATCAGTGGCCACTTGGTTATAACATGGGCAAAATGATTCTTTATGTTCCCAACATGCAGTTACAACCTTGCACTGGGATTCTACCACAGTAAAATACAGGAGTAGTGACTGGAAAGGAAACAGTGAGGGCTGGCTGTCCACAGCCCTGACTTCACCTCTCACTCAGAGATGTAGGTGCCAGTTTCATTCCACGTGGGTGTGTCTGGGAAGAGGGCAGTGGTGCAGCCTTGCCAGTGCCCAGGCTTTAAAGAGCAAGATTCCCTGGACTACTGTCCCACTGCCCTCCAGTGTTCATGTTTGCAGTCACTGGGGTGTCTAGGAAGGAGGGAGAACAGGGTTCACCTCCTGACAAAGCAGAGCAATCAAACCAAACACTGAACCTTCCCTTGTCTCTGCGTTGTCTCCAGGACAGCCTGAGCCATGGAAACCAAACTTACCTTGCAGACCCTCCTACCCAGGACAGCAAAAGCACCAGAGCAAATATCAAAAGAATGGATTTCTCTTATTATGAGCTTTCTCAAGATTGTAATCCAAATTCCCATTCAAGTTCCTACTGTGGAAGATCAGATACAAAGTGTTAAGTCCTACTCAGATGGTTTTATTTCACCCTTTATGGATATATAATGGAAATTACAATATGTATGGATCTAAAAGCAGGTAAATGGAAAAGAACTATCAGTTTAAAAAAATTACTGTAATTCAGGAAAAAAAATAGGCTTATTCTACAACATAGTAGTTAAATGATTTGCATCAAGCTGATATTACTGTTCATTCTTATCTGTTGTTATTAACAACTTGTGGAAAATAAATTCTCAGTATCCCAATTCTTCTAGTCATTTGTGTTGCTCTTTCATTTTAATCCAGTGAGCCAATGAAGGCAGTGTGCCTTGGGGCCCAGTCACTTTCCACCTTCTGATTCCCCTTCAGGAACTCAAAGTCTGCTGGCAAATTACACAAGAATGTACAAATGAGTTTTTTGAACTCCTAAGGGCATCAGTGCTTGTGTTAAATATAGTGAAGTCCTCATACTATTAATCTGGGGCTTAAGTCTGGTCAGCAGCATGGGCCTTTGTCTGCATTAATGTGTTGTGGTGTGCTGTGGAAGTGGATCTGCAATGGGAAGCTGTTGGCAATGAAAGCTGGTGTCCACACTGTGCATGTTGTAGGGGTTTGCTTTGACAGAGCCTTTGGATGCACACTGGCAGCTGCAGCACGTCCATCCACTGGTTTGGTTTCACACACTCCCGGGGTGTTCTGCAACTGAAGTGTGGAAATTGGAGACCGTAGGGAGAGCTGGTTAAAAACATTCTCCTGATAGAGAGCCAAGCAGTAATGAAGGCACAGCAGATGAAGTCCAATTCCCCATCACCTTGTTGTTTCTATTCTTACATTCTTGTAACTGAAGCCCTGGCAGTTGAGAAGAGAAAGATGTAGCCCTTGAAGAGTACAGATGGCTAAAAGAACATGCTTGATCATTCCAGGTCCAGAGAGCTTTTCATAAACACTCTCCAATGAAGTCCTAAAACTGCTGCGAAAGAAAACTGTGGTTATTCCATGACTGAGATCCATGTTTTCCATTGAACTGTTGATCAGCTGTGCTCAAACACCTCACGGCGTTGGCTTGGGCTAGTAGAAAAAGGTGTGACACCAGCCACCAGGGTGCAGGTTTGGTGGCTGGCAGCAGCAGAGAGGGCTGGCTGCTGACTTACACAATTCCTTTCAGCCTGTACCTTTTTTTTCTTTCCAAAGCCACAGGTTTCAGCTGCCTGGACTGCTCTCACCGTCTCCACTCCAGCTGTCCAGGAAGAAGGGAGCCCTGATCTTCATGGCTGAGTATTTCAGTGAGTACCACGCCCCATGCCACGTAGCCCACACGATGCCATTGTCGTGGGACCCCTTGTACCTTCCTGTCCTGTAGTACCATCCGTTCAGGTTCACAGCATGGCACCTCGTCACCACGTAGGAGAGGGAGAAAGGGAGATAAGGTTTCTTGGGGAAGACTTTGCATCATTACAGTGAAGAGCTATTTTCACACAATATACCTTTAGAAATACCAGAGTGGGATTTATTGGCAGATTCAGGCACCCAGATATATCTGTCTGGACTGGACTGGTTATCTAAAGTTCTACAAAAGCCTGTGGAGATCTGGTTAATGCCTTTAGTGGAACCCAGAGAAGTATGTGGCACATCTTAAAGCAGACACCTTTACTGGTCAGATAATTCAACCTGGTCTCTCCTCCTCCCTGTTAACTAAGGACATGATTCAGTTGCCTGAACAGAGGGGTGTGGTGCCATTTGGTAGGCTCTAGCTCAAGCTTAGGCAGCCATGTATAGACACCTGAAAATGCAGATGACTTTTAATCAAGGTCAATCCCATTGCTGATGTACATTTTTGTAGCTCCACTGATTCCAATTTGTATATGATGAGGGCCTGGGCAAAGAAGAGGCTCATCCTGCACTGAAGCAGAGGGAAACTGAGAGTGGTGTGTCCATGCTCCCAGGGCTGGAGAACCTGAGTCCCTGTCTCTTGCTGTGTGGGGTATGCCCAGCTAGCAAACATATCATCAGGACTGCTAAGGGGTAACTTACCCCATAGACATTAGAGAAATGTCTTTGGTATACACTTCACCTTGCAGTGGCTACAATTGTTTTCTTTCCTGGGATGCAACACAAAACACTTAAAATAATCTTAACTGACATCTTTTCCTTCCAGGTCATTCTCCCTTATGCATTCTGGCCCCTTTTCTTAAAATGAATGCAACTTTCCTGCTTGGCTTCATAAAGAAAGAAGCAGATTGCTTTCCTTTGAGGGTCTGTGGGTATGAACATCCTAGATTTGGCTGTGCAGGGTGGCAAGCACACACAGCCACCTCTGGCTGCTGGAAGGCAGGCAAGGCCTCTTGGCGGTACAGCCACCCACACCCTGTGCCTCCAAGAGGAGCTGCCTGTTCTCCATACCTGTTAAACCACCAGCCCCCCTTGTTCTCTGAGGCACAGTTGCCTGCCAGGAATCGGTCGTGATCCTTGTCAGATGTGGTGAACTGCATCCCTCTGTGAGAAGCTGACCACTGATCTTCAAAATTGCTCCCCCCAGACAGAGCGTCGCCAGCGTTACCAGAGTAGGTGCCAAACCATAGCCTGTAATTGTCCTGCAAGAACATGTGGAACATCTTTGATATCAGCTCTTCCTGCCTTTCCTCAGAATTTGCTCTGGCCACTCTATCCACTGTCAAAAGCATGACTATTGAAGTCAAGGGTGGATTTTGGCCCCATGCTTTAGTGATCCTAGAGTAGATCCATGTGGGATTTAAACTTCCAGAAGGGATTGCTGATTACTGCTGCTGCTACAAACAACTTCAGGCTTTATTGTCTTTCAATAACAATTTGATACACCATACAAGCTGGAAGGCTCTTTCTGGCTCATCAAGAACAACTTGGCAGAAAACTGTGCCAAGTAGTTGCCTTCATAAACTGATCAGTTCTTCAGCTGGAATATCTCCTTAGGAATTTTTCTCCTCCAAGAACTAGAAGCTATCTAATTTCTAGCTAGATGGTCCAGTCCTGATAGGAATACTTAGAAGAATAGTTCCACTGTGCACAGCTAACAGACCTGAGAGACATTTAATATCAGATGGATGATTACTTTTGTGGTGTGGGCTTTCTCCTGTCATCATATTCCACTTTTGTTTATGAAAAAAATAGCAGGAAGGTTTTAAAATTAAGCTGTTCAGGCTTTTCCTATGAAAACTGTAACTGCAAACTGAACACAACACATGCATTTCTGGAGCAGTGATGGAGCTGGAACAAGGACTCATCCATGCCATGGAACTCATGTCCTTGAGTATTCAGGCTGCTTACACGTGGTATTCAGAAAGGCAAGCCTGCAAAGAGCAGGACCTGCACTGAGCAGGACACTGTCTAAAGCTAGAAAGCAAAAATGAGAAGACAGGGATGTGCCTGGTTTTAGGCTGTATCTGTATCACTAAGTGTAGGTGGAGAAATACCTCTCTTCAAGATAGGAACTCAAAACTGCTCTTTCAAAGGTTTGATTAGAGTTCACTGTTTTCTTTTAAAACAAAGTAGAGAGGGTTTGTTCTGGGGATTGCCTTTTATGTGACAGCCTGAAACGCTTTCCTAGGAAGCAGAACAGGGTTCAGTTTCCTTGCAAACATTCAAACCTTTCTCTCCCCCCACAGGGAAGATTCTTTTAACCATGAGGCTGGAGACAAATGCCTGTGGGAATCCCTGTGGCAGAAAGCTGCCCTCTGTGCAGCAGCAGAGTTAGCAAGAGAGCACACACACAGTCCTGTCACCTGCTGGCTTGGGCGCTCAGGAGGAAGTCCCAGGCTTATATCCCTGCTCCCAGGGCTGTCTGTCAGGCATCCAAACCAGGAATCCCAGGGAACCAGAGCTGTAATTACAACCCTGACACAGAATTCCAGTGCTGCTTATGCAGGTGCCCCACCCTCACAGACCAATGGAGCAAACCACCACTCTCCATTTCTCACCCGCTCATCCGCAAGCCGGACGTTCTCATAGACTGCATAACGTCTTTCCCCACGCCAGTCCATCAGGTCAATCTTCAACAAGCTCTCTCCTAAGCACAAAGTGGCATCCTGTTAGGTGAGCTGGCTTATGCAGATTGGAAAGAAATCTGTGAAGGGAAAATACTCCCACCTCTAGCAAGAAGGTCATAGATGTGGTCATTGCCCAGCCAGTATTCATCGTTCTTGCCCTGGAATTTCCCAAATCCCAGTTTGTAATCATCCCATTTCCTGCAGTGAGATACAAAAGCCATTTTCAGCATGTGAAGGAAGTAGATGGTTTGTGCCACTTGGCTATGGTAACAAGTGAAACTTCAGCTCTATCTCTAGACACCCTTTTCTAAAGTATTCATCACAAGCTGAGCCGAGATGTGTCACCCTGCCTTAGAAGTCAACACAACTCACAGCTTACTTCATCTGCTGCTCAACCTGTGCACACACACATACTGGGATCAAACCTTCAAACTGCCAGCTGCAGGGCTTGCAGAATAAGGTTGTCAGTGGGATGGAAAGGGAGAGCAGCAGCTGTCATATTGGTCTTCAGCAAAGCATCTGATACTGTTCTTCAGCAAGTCTTAATTAAAAGGCCCTCCTGGCTGGAACGGAATGTTGCAGTCTAAAATGTGCTGCAACCTTGGCTGTACAATGTGGTGAAGAATCAGAAACTGAATAGAAGTTGCAAACAAAAGATTCCAGATGAAGTTAAAAAGGGAATATCTAATTTTGCTTTGTGTTCCTGTTCCATTTAAATCTCGTTTTGAATCACTGACCACTTTCACCTCTGCTTTTTTCCAGGATCATTGTTTGGATGTGGTAGCTTGTTCTTCAGAGGTATATACTCACTTTTCATCAGCATTCTCTGGCTACATCTTTTTAAGAGAGATCTTCTGCTGTTACTTGCTTCTCATTCCATTCTTTTCAAATTTCCTCTGTTATTTTTGTATTATCATCAATATTCATGTATACTTCCTGCGTATCATCAGTTCCAGTTTTACTAACCTCATGTTTATTCCCTCTCTCACGTGGTTATTAATGATATTCATTCTGCCTGACCTACATACTAGTCAATGCTCCTCCTCAGCATGTTTTTCATTCACCTGTCCTAGTTTGCTACCACTCCCTGGGCAAGCCAGCTTAGAGCCCACTGAGGCACCTTTGCAATGGGCTGCACTCACTGTAAGAGACACTAGACAGGCCCTGAAACTGTGTGTGCTGTGAGAGTGAATTAATCTGCATGGGGACATTTCTTCTTTCCTACCAGAGCATCTCTCCTCCTGGAGAGTTCCAGGTGAAAGTCACCTCTCCAGGATTTTGCATAGAGAAAGGACAACCTAGACCAGAGGTCTGGTATCTTTTTGAATGATCTGAGTAAGGAAATAAATGTTACGACATGCTGAACATATTTCTTGATATGAGATATAATGTGTTTGACAAGTCTTGGTCAATGTGCTGGCAGCAGATACCTGCCACTTTGGAGCCTTCAGCAGTTTCCAGTAATGATAAAAGAGATACACCCACACATACACACCTACTCAAAGGCAGAGAAGCCATGGAAAAGGCATTAAAGGCCTAGTTTGGAAACAGCCTCCTGCTACAGGTTTGTACCACCGGGTGGTCCTAATGCAAAGTGCTGTCACTAGAGTGGAGTCTTGCACACCCTGCTGCTCAAACGCAGGGCTCTGCCGGGCAGCAGGAGCTGGGGGACACCCACCTGTCGAAGTTCTCCTTGCCATGGCTGCGCCGCTGGATGACGGTCCAGCCCCCGCCGTCAGACATGTCACAGTAGGCCAGGACAGGCTCTCGGTCTGCCCGGGGCCGCAGCCGGTAGTACCCGCTCTGGGTCTGCTTCCGACTGTGCACCTCAGAGCAATCTAGGAGTAATGGCATCCACTTGTTAGGGACGGGGGGAAAGCAACCGTGCAGCCGAGAGAAGGCCTCGCTGAGAGGGGACAAGGACGCCTGGCCAGCCTGTGTCCAGCCCTGCAGTGCCACAGCAAATGGCTCACCGAGGCCACAGCAATGCTGGTGTGCACACTGCTGGGCCTGACAAAGGGCAGCAAGTTGTGAGAGCCTTGACATCCAAGCCCTGTGAAGGAGTCGTTCCCAGGTCTCGGGTGAGATACAGGATGGCTGCAGCTCAGGCTGGGGCTGTAGCATCAGAGTGACACAGGAGTGGGACTGGCCCTGTCAGCAAGAAACTAATTTCTGTGTGGATGGTAACCTCAGCTGTACTTCAGATGGGATCAGTGCCCAATATTTCTAAAATAAGAGACTAAGCTCCTCTGACCATCTCTGCCAGGCCTTTCAGGACCTCAGTGCTTCACACTTTCAATGTAATCACAGAACCGTAGAATGTTTGGGTTGGAAGGGACCTCCAAAGGTTATCTAATCCAAGCCCCCTGCTATAAGAAAGGGCTTCTCCAACTTGAGAAGTTGAGCAGCTTGAAAGGCTGCTCAGAGCCACATCCAGCCTGACCTTGAATGTCTCCAGGGATGGGGCCTCCACCACCTGCCTGGGCAACCTATTCCAGGGATCTATCACCCTCATATTAAAGAACTTTCTCCTAACATCTAGCCTACATCTCCCCTTTTTTAGCTTAAAGCCATTACCCCTCATCCTGTCACTCCAAACCCCTGTGAACAGTCCCTCTCCTTTCTTGTAAGCCCCTCTCAGGTACTGGCAGGTCACTATAAGGTCCCCCCAGAGCCTCCTCTTCTCCAGACTGAACAGCCCCAACTCCCTCAGCCTGTCCTCACAGCAGAGCTGCTCCAGCCCTCGGATCAGTTTTGTGGCTGTCAAATGCCCATGAAGAATAAAATCTTGGCCACAGGCCACGATTCCAGTTATGACCATGTTCTCAAAATGACAGCAGGGAACAGAGCGTGCAGGCCTACTACCACAGCACAGAAATGAAGGAGCTGAGGAACAGGGAGGCTGAGCTCCTCCAAACAGGTTTCAGTGCCCACAGCTGAGCCTGGCAGGGAGAAATAAACACTGTGGCAAGCTGAAATTTCCACGTACTACTGCAAGCTGTACCTTGGTCATAGACTATCAAATTTCCACTAGTTGTGGGTAAAAGTGTCTCATGCTGCATGCTCCTGTTGCCTGAGAACAGCCCACTTTTTGTTCTGTGGTAAGTGTTCTCCAGGATGTCCTTCAGCTGCAGTTCATATAAGTAAAGCAAGTCTTGAAGCTGTTTTAACCTTTGTCTTAATTGATTGTTGTCTAGGAGGCAGATATCTTTTTCCTATGGAGAAAATAAAGAAAAAAAGCTCACCCTTCAGTCAGTGATAAGAACAGAGAAGCAGAGAGAAGGAGTGTTTGTCCCTCTTGACCCTAAGGTGTCACACTGCCTCCCTGGATCAATGCAATTCGATGGTGGTCTCTTCCTAAGATAAATCTTGCTCAGCATGGGCTGTTGAATTGAACCCCATGGAAAAGAGTTTTCTGCAACGACCTTGCCACTGTTCAGAGCATCCCAGAATAGGATTAGATTTGCAGAAAATGACTCTGGACAAAAATGATTTGTCTCAACTTCCAGTTAATGTACTCAAGGGGAATGTTTGCAGACTATGAAACTGCTGAGGGTAGTAAGAGGGGAAAAACAGCTCTTGCACTGCAGCCAGGGTGCTAGAAACATCTTTTTTAAAAACTGGACTATAGAAGAGTTGATGTTTGATGCAAATCAGCTGAAATCAGGATCAGAATGTGACCCACATTAGCTGGGATAAACATTTTCAGCAATGACCTAGTCTGTGGCTAGTGTTACTCCACAAAAACCATAACTAACCAGAGCAAAACTCTTCCAAGACAACAAGCAAACCCATGCTGTAAGAATCATTGGCTATTTCTGCTCTGAGCAGGCTTGAATGATACGAGGTCAGGAGCAGTTCTAGGCATAAGCAGAACAAGCAGTTGCCTGTGACAGCAGACTGCTGAGCACACTCAAACGTGGTGTCCCAGCTGCCTCTTCCTTCTCCTAGGCCTGTTGGTTTTCCTTCATAGGGGAGGATTTCCAGGCTGGAGGCACACAGGGACGTGCTGCAGACAGCCAACCCTGAGCTGGCCAAATTCTCCTTGCCAAGCTCTGTACCTTCTTGGGGTGGCACAAGAGAACTTTGCTCATCAGAAGAGTACAAATTCCCTCTGTCTATGCCTACCTCCTCTTCCCCTTCTTTCCTTTTAAATCACAATGAATAAATGAAGGCAGTTTTTCCTGAGGGAATGGAATGGAGTGCTTCTACACTAGCCATTAACACCACATTTATTTTTTTTTTATATTGTTTTTAATTCTTGGCAAAGTCATTCCATCCATCCAGAGTGCTGCACAGCCCCTAATGCCAGGAAACCCCTATATTATTAGCACAACAAGAGTGACCTTCCTTTAGCTGCAGGCAGGTGCCTTTTTGCTCTGCTCTTGCAAGTCTCCATCCCTCTTGTGGGGGAGCACCTGTCTCTACACGACTGGGAATGATTGATAAACCATTGAAAGGTTGTACAGACTCTTGCTGAGAGGTACACACCGAAAACCTGGGTGCAGGTGAGCTGAAGCTGACCAGGAGAAGCAGCAGCAGGCACCAGGGAATCGTCACGCTCATTGCTTACCACCTGAAAAGAAGCATGGACAAGCTGCACTGGAGGCTGCTTTAGTTCCTCTCACAACTTAATCCCCCCTCACAATCATGTTTAATTCCCCTGAAAACGTTTCAGGACTCGTTAAGGAGGTTGCTTGAATCTACAGGCAGGACAAAATCAGGGAAAAGCTGTGTGGCAGGGAGGATCTGAAGTGCAAGTGCAGCATGCTGACAGGAGGATGGAGGCTTAGGTCCAATCTCCTGCTTCCCTGGAGAAATAAATACCCACGATGGGTCTACAGCAGCCTCTGCCCCTTCTCCAGAGCGCCCACGTGGACAGAAAGTTACTTCATAGTGACACCTGCTTGGAGCTCCCCTGGCCAAAATCACACAGTCCTTATTCAGTGCAAACTCCCCAAAGTTAAAAAGAACTTTGCTTGCTGGTTGAATGAGGCATTATTGCCCCTCTGCAGTCCACGGAGTGGTCAGTCAGGGTGGGATTAGCTTCGAGGCCGAGGGCAGCAGGCACACATGGGACAGAGTGGGCACGGGCTATTTTTTGCTTGGATTTCAGCAGAAGAGATCTCTGCTGCTGACTTGCCCCAGCACACAGATGGAGCTGCAGGCAGAGACTCAGCTAGAAAAAATGCCAAGTGCTGCCTCTGGGAACACACAGCTGAAGGCAAGTGAACAGCACGAGTTGTCCACAGTCTGCTTGCATGGTGCTTTAAAAAAAAAATAAATCAGAGAAAGAATTCAAATAATCTGAAAAATAGGCTAAAACCAGCTCCCCCGCTTCACATCTGGAAGTGCTGCAGAAACTTGGCTGCCCAGCTCTGCGTGCTGTGCAACGTGTCTTGCTGCAGCTACGGCTCCATCAGCAGCTCCGCAGCGGCCGGGGCTGGGCAGGGGCTGGGGCTGAGGCTGGGGTAGGGGCTGGGGTCAGGGCTGGGACTGGGTCTGGAGCTGCTTCCAGAGCTGGCAAAGCTGCTGAGACAGGGCAGCCATCTGCCAAGCCGGGCAGGGAGGGCCCAGAGCAAGCCAAGAGAAGCAGCGCTGCATGGAAGTCGCTTGTAAAAGGTGTCCTGCGGGTGGGTGCCCCAGCAGGTGGCATTTTGTCAGCTCCTAGAGAGAAGGGTTCATTGTCAGAGCAAGGCACCCCCAGCCCGTGGCTGCTGGTGCTGCTCCTTCATGCCACCCTGCAGCCGTGCTGGTGGCTGCAGCACCGGTGCTGAGGCCAGGATCTGGCCCCACACCGTGCGTGTGGGTGGAGGCAAAAAGCTGACAGGAAGGATGGGTTTCAGCAACACCTTTTGAAAAGCAGATGGTACAAGCTGGAAAGAAAGCAAGCAACTTCATTATCCCTTTGCCAACACATAGGAAATGCACATACCTGTAACTCACCTTTCCTTCAGACCTCCTGATAAAATTATCTCCCTTCAATGTCAACTGCAAAGGAAAGTGCCCACAAACCTAGCTGTGTTTCTGAAGGTGGGTGAGATTTTCCTCTTCGGATGGCCCACATCAAGGATGCAGACGAAGAACGTTTCACAGCACTAGGCAGTTCCACAGAAAAGACACTTGCAATTCCTCATGTGAGTTACTCAAGCCCCGGGTTGTCTGTTGTTACCCAATACACATCCTGCTGCTTCCCAGCGAGGACAAACAACAGGTTTCCATCAGCAGTGCTCTCCAAAGGACAGGGGCTCTGCTGGTTGCATACCCTCACCCACCTTATTTGACTAGGAAGCTCACCAAAGGCTGACTTCTTGAAGTGTTTATATGAATCACTCAGACTAATGCTCCCTGTGGGAGTTTTATCTCACGTTTAATATAGCCAGGCTCATTTCAGTAAGCCCTGTAAGGTGGGAATAACACAGCTTTCCCATTCAGCATTCCTTTGGCTGTTTAATCTGGTTTGTGTGTAAAAGCACAGCGCAGCTGGAACGCCAAAGGAGCTGCAAATCTGAAGCAAGAAGGGAATGGGGGGGTATTAAGCAAGATTTGCTATTCGATTGAGATCTCAGGAGGTTTGCAGTTGTGTAACTCTCCTCTGAGCTGGATGATTAGGTTTAATCTTGCTAGTTAACACAAACAAGGACATTTGTGGAAGAGAGAAAAAAAAAAAAAGCCCAAACAAACAGATGGGTGCCTCCCTTTGCGTTATGGCTGAGAAACTGCAGATTGTTTTAAAGGAAACAGCAGGCATGCTCCACAGGAATGCTCCACTTTACAGAGTAATGTTCAGAGGAGAGACTGTGGGGGTAAAAGACAAGGCATCTAAGCCCATAGTAAACTTCTGTGTTACTCTCCAGGAAATCAGGACTCTTCAGCTATTACCAACTGTGGCAATGCTGTTTATTTCTTAAAAACTGCATCCCCCTCTTCCCACAAGAACCACTGACCCACTTCACTGCCAAAGGATTATGTAATCAGAGCTTTCCTGCTCACTTGTTCTCTACCTCTGGTTTTAGGCTGGTTTTGGAAGCTGTAAAACATCTCCTCTCCTCCTCAGTGGGTACTCAGCCCTTTCTTCTGCCCCTCTGGCCAGCAGCTGTAGCCAGCAGCAAGGGGCTCAGGTACCACACTCCTGAGCACAGAGGAGCTGCATGAATCCCCCTGGGGCTTTCATCCACAGCAGCATCTCTTTCTCAGCTGGAGCCAGCCAGTCAGCCAGCCAGCCCTTGAGACACTGTGCACCAATTTATGCTCTTGCCTAGATGGCCAATATCCTCCTTGACCCACAGGCACCTCCCAGTCCTGAGTGGGACGGGTGATGGGCCCAGGTCTGTGGTGGCAGCATTGGAGTCATGGTGTGGGCAGCACAGTCAGCACCCACGGCTGTCTGCAGGGCTGCATGGCCAGGGAGCATTGGGCTGCATGTCTCCAGCTCCTGCTGGTCCCTTGGGTGGAGGGCATGGTGGAGCTGCAGTCCTGGTGGGACTCACACATGTATGTTATGTGACTGCAGCTTTGCAGGAGCAGGACTCAAAGTCCAACTCTCCTTCTGGGATCCCCCAAACACCTCTCAGAGCCAGGATACCCAGAGCACTCATGCTGTCTCAGGACTCCATCAGTGTTAGCCTCACCAACGTCTGCATGTGAAAAAAACCAGTCAGCTGGAACATGTTTCTTGCATACCTGCTTCATGATGAACTTCTTTTGCCAGGCTAGATGAAGTTTTAGGAATATCTGAAGCACAACAGAGGGGCTGCCATGAAGCTGAGTTCACGTGAGGTGGGTCTAGCAGGAGGGTGTGTTCATCTACTGCTCCACTGGCCCACAGCTAAAATAATCAAGTCGTTGTACATGGACACCACATGGACACTGTGTGATTGCTGATGTTGTTTCCTCACAGATGTTGAAGTCCCTAGGCAATGGAACTATAAATGCTTTTTTTTTTTTCATTTTTCCTGGAATACACATGCTTCCCACATATTCTGCGGTGCAAATTCCTCTTTAGTTACTTGGAAGGAGATCAAATCCCCTCTTCTTAAGATGTTCAGTGATCTTGTCAGCAAATAATAACAGTTTAATTAACTAAAAACCTCCCCACCCTGCTCTCCTCCACCCTCCTTTCAGCAAAAGTACGTAGGTGCTGAATAACAGTCATAAAACCCGATTATTCACACATTAAATGCACAGCCAGGAGAGCAAGAGCACAAACTGGTGGATAAATGTGAATGAAGAGAGCAGCTCCATGGCAGCTCTTGACATTGCTGCAGCCACGGTGTGCTGGGCTGCCCCAGAGTAACACCCTGGGATGAAGACATGAAGATGACACCTGATGGACATTCACACCCCACAGGACCCCATAGAACATCACTGCAGTTGGAGGACAGTGATGGCATCTGAAAACTCTCCCAAGACAAGTTCCTCATTGTTTGTTCTTAAAGGGGGAAGGGGAGAAATGAGGTGGGTGGGTTCAGACTCCAAAGGAGGTGCAGAGACCCGAGGTTATCACAGCACGTCTGACCCCCGGTTCCTGCCCTAGGGAAATTCAGAGCAGTCTAGAACCAGCTCCTTGACACTGAATGTAGGTGTTTTATGCATTTATCATTATTTTTATACTTCTTGATCACATCCTACCTTCCATAAACTCCCTCCTCACTGGGAGACACCATGGACCACTGCAGGTGTGGAGGTACCAGGACCCTGCAGGCTCTTGATGTGTGAGCTACTATAGGTCTCCTGTAGGATTCTGGGTTGCCAGGTCTTTTAAAACAAAGTTAATGTGTGAGATCTGAAACAAACATTTATTTCTTTGTTCAGTCTAACAATAAAGGGTTTCATCCAAAGTAAGATAAATGTAAAGATCAGGCTGACATCACCCACCATAGTTTCAATCTAGGAAATAACCGAAACCAGCATATGAGCACTGAAAGTCTGTGGTTTGTCAGCAAGGAGTAACCACAGAAATCCACGTACAAAGAAGGAGTAATGGGGGCAGACCACAAAACATGCTAGCTCTGGCTGTTTTGATAACGTTCAAAGGGCAAAGACATCATTCAGTCTAAGTAATGAGTCTGCTTGCAGCCTATGAGTACCTAATGGGTTGACACAACAAATGTAATTAGTTTATAAGTTCCTGAGGGCAAGCACAGGTCCAAGCAACCTCACTTCCATCTGGAATAGCTCTACCAAAGGGAATTAGTCACAAGGCCAGAGGGACTATGTGGATTATCTGCGTGATCTTCTACCTACCTCAGGTCAGAAAACTCCCCATACCTTATTCACTCCCATTGGAACTAGAGCATCTCTGAGAAAAAGACATTCTGGTATCAAATATCCAGTGCTGAAGAACCGGCCGCAGAACTGGGCACCACGGGGAGGGAGGATGGGCAGGAACAAGTTCTGCTCCGGGGGTGGTTTCATTCAGGGTTGTTTCACACAGAACATGTACATAGATCTTTATGGCATGCCCAGCAGCAGGACTGCAGGGTCTGGGGGGATCTCTGCAGCCCAACAGAGAGGTGCTCAATCAACTGCTTCTAGGGTTAGCCAGCTGCTGAACTAGTTCCTTC